TATCTTTATATCATGTTAATCATATCCTTTTAATCTATATAATTATTGTTTTATTTGTCTTATATCTATATTTTTAATAACTTTTTATTAACCTTTTATATTGTTATATGGACTAAGCTTGGAATCTATGAAACTATACAAAAATATTGAACAATCTTAAAAGATTTCCTGTATTTGATGTTTGAGGATTGATTGATAAATGAGATATCCTACTGCAGTATTTCAAAGTGTAGGAATAGATCCTGTGATCGTCATGTTCTGTCATTACATAACAGTCAAGTTTAAACATATATTCATCTTCTATATTTGGTACAAAACAGCAATCAAATATTTAAATTAGAAGGTTCATGCTAAAGGAAAACGATCAATTTAGTAAAGTATTGTGAAACCTTACAAAGACTTAACAGATATATTCACAGAGTAAAGCTACAAAAGAATATTTTTATTGCTCTGATAATGCAAAACCATACTTCAGTAAGGATGATGAAGATGCTTTTGAACCTAAAGATACTCTCCTTACAGCCAAGATCTGACACTATCAGATTTTTGATTGCTCCAAAATTAAAAGGGATAAGCCAACAACTACTGGATTATATTGGGCTATTATAATGTGATTATTTTAAATTAATTACTAAATAATTTGTTTCATCATGTTATAAGAGCCCAGTAAAATCCAATAGTTATTGGTTTATTATGTATGTATATCAGGTTTGTAGGTGGTGTTTTATTAAAAGGGATGTTGAAAGCAATGCTTTTTGTCAGATGCCAAAATCAAGTTGCTATGTAGGAATGATCAAGTAAAATTAAATCTTTTTAATGCACAGAATACAAAAATGGGTTGAATGTTTAGAAAAATGCTATTCTAAATGGTAATTATCTTTAAATATATATGGTTCAAATGAATGATTTTTAGTACTTTTTAAAACTGATTATATTATTCTCTCTTTCCAAGCTAATTTTATTAAAAAGGATATATTATTTATCTACAACTATGCTTTGTCTTATTTTCTACTTTACACCATTTATCTTATTGTTAGATTGGCAGTGAAGTTTTAGGATATAGTTTCATATATGAATGTCACTTTTCTTATGGATATCTATGTATTAAAGCTAAATAATTGCCAAATTATATTACTACTACTATTAATAATTAAATGCCAAGTTGCAGGTATGAGTCCTGCTACAGGCAGATTCTATTCTTTCAGAACTTCTAAATTAATTGTTAAAATATTGCCAAATTACTTAGCATTTAATTATTAATTGTAGTAGTAATATAGCCCAATATAATCAGGCAATTGTTTGGCTTTCATATCAGGTTCTAGAAGTTGATATATGGATATCTATTATTTTTTAAATTGTTATTTTATTTGGAAAAAGAACTTGCCTGCAATGGCTTGTGACATTACTTGTGAATGACAATAAATATATCAGTTTCTTTTTCAAATATAAATATTAAAGTTATTAAAATAGTATTAATATATACAGTATGTGTTATATTTTGTTACCCTTTACACTCTGTGAGCACTAAGAGGGCCTTTTAACAAGCCCATTGTGGCCCACCATGACACCCCGTTATGGGCCTCCTGGATGGTGAGAGGCAGAGACTGACTAGAACATATGCCCTGAAAAATTCCTAGGGTTTTTGACCCATCTCAATTTGTTCCCAATTCTTCAAAGCAGTAGGCTAACATTAATCACTCAGCCATTTTAATATGAGTGGTGTCCAGAAAATAAAGAATGTTTGGCTATAAAAAAAAAAGAGAAAACAGTAATGATAGGCAAAAGTTTTATTAAGTAATTAGTTTAGTTTAAGACCAGTTACTTTTCTACAGTGTCATTATTAAGATGAAAGCTCTTGTCATAGTGTGATACTAGTTTTTGGATTTTTTGTCATAGACTTCCACCACCAGTTCTTTCAGCCAGTTAGTGCCAGCTTCTTTCATCTCATCATCTGTCCAAAATGTTCCAAATCCACCCAAAACTCTTTCAGCTTGGGGAAAGTTGTGAAAGTCACTAGGGAGCCATGTTGTGACTATGGTGGGTGGTTAAAAATATCCCATCCAAATTTCTGAAGCACAGCTTGAGTGGCTGCAGTGTGATCATGTGTTATCTTCCTTGATCAAACATTAAAGACCATTTTCTCCTATTTGCTTCATTTATAATGTGATCACCATACCCTTTCATGATTTCATTATGAATATCTTTAGGACAAACTTTTTTTTTCTATTTAGAAAACAAATAACACTTTGCATTTGACAGGATTTTCAAATTTTATACACATTTTAACCCTTGACAAAACTAACAATAAACCTACCATTGTCAAAACTGTACATGTGTAGCTAACCCATCAGAGAACAAATTGAACCTGAATCGATGGCAGTCATTTTCCTGTGTAGAGTGCTATATGCAAATCATCATTATTTTCTGGACACCCCTCATATTTCAATTATAGTTTAGCTATGCTACTTATAAATTAAAGTCTATTTAATTAGCTTTTACCAATAATCTGATCAAAATTAAGTAAATAATAAATTTGTTGTTGTAATTTTCAAAAACTATGAAGCAGCTTATGTAATACTTTACTGTAATAAAATTATTATTATTATTATTATTTTTTTTGGTCAAAATTTTTTAAATTAATGAAATTAATCTGAAATTAACAATTAAATTAAAATATATATTTTGTTGTAAAATTGTATATTTCTAAAATCTAAGACTGATATTTTTCTAAATTAATTTATACTGACAATTGAGAAAATAATAAAATAGTTACAAAGTGATTTCTTTAGCAATATGAAAGAGCAATTTTCTATTTATCTATATTTTAAAACAATTTTCTTTAAATTTACAGCTTAATAATTGGATGTCAATAATCATTATGTTCATTATTAATAATTGCATTTATCTATCCTTCCCTCTTTTTTCAAACTAATGATAGAAATCAAATTCTTCTTATTCACAAATTGTTGCATATTCTGTTTTATAAAAGCAAATACTAACATATGATTTGTGTTAGTAATGCTTCATGTTCTAGAAATGTAATTTTTTTATTAAAAATTTTTTAATTAATAATTTAGTAAATTTTCTGTAAAGTAAACAAACATTTAAATTATTATTATTATTTGTAACAACTTTATTTGGATGTAATAAATTTTTTCAGCTTCAGTCTTTAAATTATGAAAATTATCTTATTTGTGATATGGTAGTAGTTAAAAATGTTGTTGATTATTAATATGTAACTTCTATTTTAATTCATTTGAAATTTTTTGTTTCAAAGATTACTTTTAACCTAAGATTTAGAATGCATAATAGATGAGATTATTTTTATGTCAAGGTCTTAGAAAGATTTATTGAAGTTTAGATTTTGAACTGTATAATAAATAATACAGCTATGTTTATGACATAAATTTTAATTTATACATTATTATGTAATTAAGTAATACTACAATTAATTATATTAATTAAAATTAAATAATAATTTAATCTTTTAAGTATTTTTTAAAATATTTTATGAATGCATAACAATTAACTGTGTAATTAATTATGAAATATCTTTTATAGCCCTGTGTTCAAATAGTTTGCCATAAACGTTCACATGAATCATTGCTGTCATTGGGTATTAATAAAATAGCAGAATGGAAACCAGACAACAGAGCCATTGTTGTGGCTGTAAGTATAATAAATATTCTCTACATTTAATGTGTTATTGATAGACAAATTCTTACAAATATTAGAATTTGTCAATTAAAACTATTTGTATTTTGTGTTAATAAATTTTCAAACAAAAAATTTACTGTCACGATCTGATTTGTACACTTACATTTGTTAGTAATCAAAAAGACTTGCCACTTCATTAGTGTTTATAATGTATTATATTATTATTTTATAAATGAAACAAAGGGGATATATCTGATCAAAATACAAAAATAAAATATTTTAAATTTATATTTTGATAAATAAAATAAAATTTGATTAAAAATTTTATTCAATTTTAATAATTTAAAATAATAATGAATAGATTAATTGTTATCTTATCATATTCATAAAATAAAGAAACTGTTCTGAAATTTAATCTTTGTGCAAACATTGTTTCATTGCAGATGTGCAGATGTATCCCTGAGAATCTATTTTATATTTCATAATTACATATAATGAAATAGAAACCAGATGTATAAATATAAACAGACTTATTTCTTTTACTATTCATAAAGTCTGAGTACTGTATACAATAAAAATGTCTTTATTATATTCAAAATATTAATTTTAAAAAACAGAAGCAAAGAAAACTGTTATTTGTAATGAATGAATATATGTACAGAATATCATTTGTGTTACTGTACAAAATAATTTTATTAGATTTTTTTTTACTGATTCATTTTTATACAGCAGATGTACTTGCATTTATATTTTACTATCCTTTTATTTTACTCTATGACCAATAATATTGAATGAGTTAGTATTTATGAATAACTATTCTTTATGTTTGAGATAAAGTTTTAAAGTAAGATGATAAATGTTTTATTCATGATGAAAAATTTAATATTTTCAGAAATTTTGAATTTACAGTATTTAGTAATTTATGCAATACAGTTCATTATTAAAATAAAATTCAATTGCTAATTGGTTTTTATTATAAAATTAAATTGTAGACTTATTCAATTATTTTCAGTTTATTCAAGATGGGCATGATTTTAATAGTTTACAGTTTTAAAATCATAAATTTATTTTCTACAAAATAAAAAATTTGTTTACTAAAGAATTAAAATTAAAAACAAAAAAGTTTTTCATAAGAGTTTTTTAGAAAGCAAATTCATATTTAAATTGAAATACTTAAATATAAATGTGAAACATTTCTATTGCATTTAATTTTTAACTTCTTAGTGATTTAAAACAGTATATTCAATATTCCAAATTAGGTTTAATAAATAAAATAACATAAAGATTAATTCATTTATTATTATTATTAGAGGAAAGGTGGTATTATGGAACACTGCGGGTATTATGGAATTACCCCATTTCGAATTGATAATAAAGGCAAACTGTAGCGGATTGTGGCTAAACTGAACTAGGCAGACATCCATAGCAAGGGGAAAACCCGTTTTACTTCAGTTAAACGGTTGTCCGTATTTAATCAGCAAATTTGTTTTTTTCAAAATTCGCAAGTTTTGAATGCTAAGTGAATTTAATTATTTTTAAAATATAAATCGTGTAGTTGTAGGTTCACTGGTGCATGTATTCCGTTCCAGAGACTTAGGGGTACATATTAATCTGTGTGATGTTCACGTTTTTTAAATTTTGGTCTCGACAGACATAAGTTAATTCGAGATGGCGATGCGTGAAATACGGACCCCTTTGGTGCTTTTACAGTAATATGGAACTCAACTCCTCCGAACTCTCTCTTTGCAATCAGACATTCGTCCGGAGCAATTTGGGAAAAAGACACTAGGTAGAAAGTCTGAAAATATCGAAAAAGAGCTGCTGGAATATATATTGTTGATGGAGGTCATATTTTTCTATTATAAAAGCATTTTTGCGATAAAATACATTGGAGTAAATAATTTTGTAATTATTTAACATTTTTTGTCCTTTCCTATTTGTTTTTGGCTACATTAAAGCATTTTTTTGAAAATATACAGTAAGGTTCCATATTACCACCCGATTTTCTCTAAGCCTACTTTCGGACTTTTTGTACAAAAGCCTTCAAAAACCATACTTATAATTACACTAGCGAAAAATCCAATTAGGAACATTTAGTTTACTAGTTACCAGTACTTTTCGCACAAAAAATGTGGGTGTAGTTATGATACCTTGTTTACAATTCACTAAAATGTAATTGGGGTTCTATAATACCACCTTCTCCTCTATTATTTTTAAAGTTTCTGGTTATTTTTGAATATTAATTGCATATAAACAGTATAAGAAGAATTTTGAAAACATTTGAAAAAAGTTAATGTTAATATTAATATTTCATTTCTATTTAATATTTTAGCATATGATTTCACTTTTTTACACTCATTCAGTTTCTGTTACATTAAAAAATATCAGAGATGAATGAAATTTTGGCATAATAATTACATGACTATGTAATAAAATAATTAATACATTATGTTATATTTATAATAATTAAATAAATTCTCATTAATAAGAATAGCAATTTTTTGTGCCATTGAATTCACCATACTTCCAGTAGTTGAACACTGTTTCAGTCCCATATTTTCTTTACCAAATTATTATTAGTCCCTACCAAAATTGTACTGCAGTGATTACAGCACAGTTTATACAGACATATATGGCACTGGTATAGTGTTGGATTATTTAGAAGTAAAATTAATTCAATAGCACATAAACAAATTTGACAGCATGGAGTCAACTGTTAACGATGCATCAAAACACAAGTGGGGTTACTGATCACAACATTAGAGTGCACTACTGTCATTAGTAATCAGTATTATCAAGTTGGTGGATCTTGCTAAATTTAGTGAGAAGTACAGTACTTTTGCTGGGAAACTTTGAGGGACTGATTTTTATATTATAGAGTATTTGGGTTGCAATATGAAAAAATTGAAGTCTTATTTATAAATTCCCACTATCATCAGTCTGTCTTTCCTTAATCCTGAGAACAGAGTTAGTTAGATGAAAGCTGAGACCAGATATGGAAATCTTAGGGACTGGTGGCTCCTTATTAACTATATATGAACTTCTGGTGCAAACCAGAAGTCATGTTATTTCAATTCAAAAATTTTTCCATGAAAGGAGTTGGATAGATGACCTGCACAACTCTATTGCTAATGGAAAACTATGATATGCAAGAGCAAGACATTACTAATTTGAGGTGGAGATCATATATTTTAAATTTTAAAATTATTAAAAATTGTAGCCTGGCATTGTGATGATGTCGCAAATAATTGCTCATTTGTTATAAGATATTGTATCTTTCTTGAGCAGCCTAACATGACAAGCCTAACAACCTATAGTATTGTGCCCAAGCTTAGGCTCTATATCATGCTATGTTTACTGGGAAGATGTTCAAATTTAGTGGAAACTGGAGTATGAACTAGTGGGAAGCTTGTCTACAACTTGGTAGCATGCTGGTAATATGCAAGAGTTGACTAGTGTCAGATTACTGTATATTAAACTAGCGAACTGCCTGATTACCGATATTGTACTATATATCCATTTTTTCAATTAGATATATAATATCTAATTGAAAAAAATTGAGAATTAAGATATTATATATACAGTGGGTGATCGGTTAACGAACAGTTTGGACTATGAACAAATCGGATAACAAACACTTTCACGAAAGATTTTTATGTTTGGATAACGAACACCTCGCAGAACAAACACAATAAGAAGCAATGTAAAATAATGAATACTGATTGGTCTTCCCTTGTCTTCAGACAACAATTTGAAACTTTTTGGAGCACAGGAGACATTGACATCAATGCTCAGTTCGGTATACACTGATCAGAGAGTATTTCTCCAAACTTTGAAACTCTCCCTTGTAATTCCAGTCTTTTATTTTTCTGATTTTTTTTATACTATTTTTTTTTTTCATGAGACTGTCAGATGGGCACTTGTTAAGTTTTGCATCTTATCTAAGAAAGGTACTGTATAATCAAGAAGACTCAAGCAGCTAAAGGAGTAACAAAAATCACATCTGAGAAATATGAACTTTGAAGAGTTCATAATGGAACCTGAAATGGATCTGAAGACAGAAGTACGCCAAGAACTCTTGAATAAAGAACACCAAGAAACTCACCAGATTGCTTTGCTCACCAGATTTTAGATTGCTTGCTTCTAGTTAAAAGATCTTTATAAATTTCCTTATATGGTGCTAAGCACTTATGAAGAATAAAGCAAGTATGGAGTAAGGGAAAAACATCTGGCAACATCAGAAGCAGAAGTGTCAAGACCTGGCAACGTTGAAACAAGTTTCGAGAAGGACCATGTGTATGGACAGAAGGCGAAGAAAGAAAATTTACATACTTAAGTACTAATAGTACATGAAAATAATAATTTTCGTGAACTATTAGTATATAAGTATGTAAATATTTATTACATTTCATGTTGTACGAGGGTTTTACCCAATTCTTGAACCGTGTCAGAGTGAATCCGTGCTATAACAGTACCGTGTTATACGGGGATGGTCCCAATTCTCAAACCGTGTTAGAATGAATCTGTGTTATACGGGGGTTACCTGTATTTTTATTTTTTGGAGTTTCTAGAACAAATTCCTATAAAAAGCTATTGTAAATCAATAATCAGTTAATGAATAATTCAGATAGCAAACAAAGTCTTGGAACAGATTATGTTTGTTAATTAATCACCCACTGTATATATCTTATATCAATGTATATAGTATATATGTTCTGTCAAATTCAAGAAATGTTGCTTATTTTATGAAATAAGCTAAAGTTTGTGTGATTTGTGAAATTAGAAGTTGTATCAGTTTTACAAATATGACAATATTCCTGCTAAATTCAGGAATTGTGAATTGTACCAAGTGACACTCATGCAACATTATTGTAAATTTATGAACATACTTTGAAGATTTTTCATTTTGTTTATTGTTTTGATGTTTCTAATTTTGAAGTTTTTGCCGTAAATACTTACTTTTATTCATTATATGCATAAGCTTTCTTTAATCAATATTTAATTTTAACAAA